AGGACTGCCCAGCCCCCTCCCTGAAAGCCTGCCCTAGGACACTAGCCTGGAAAGACCTTTCCCTTGGCATGGGGTCCCTGCGCCATGGCTCCTAGCCCACTCCTAGCAAGATGCTTTGGGACTGGGACCCAGAACACAAAGGATCTAAAACTACCAGTCTAGCACTCAGGATTTGGATCCAGGTTGGTAAGACTTGAGCCCCCCGGGCGAGCAGCATGGGTGGTGGTGCTGGCGGAGGCTCTATCCAACCTCAAAGCCATATACTTGTCCAGGGTGTCATAGCTGACAGAGCCACTATTCTGCTTTTCCCATTTGTGTGTTCGCCACAGTTGGCACCCCAATCCCCATTTCATAGATGGGCAAACTGAGGCTGGGAGAGAAGAGACCCCAGAGGAAGCAAACAAGAGTCAACTCTGGGAGAGAACACTTGAATGCCAGCTGCATGTCAAGCCCGTGCTAACTGAGGCCCAAAACTGCACCACCCAGCTCCAGCCACCCAGCGGGCTCGGCTTGGGGAAACCCCCAGACTTCCCAAATGGCCAGAACCGACGGCTGGAGTGGGGACAGCTCTGCCAGGACTCCTCTCCCGTTGGGCCCGCCTCCACCCACTCGAGGCTCTCCCAGGGCTCTCTCTGATCTCCCAGGAGGTATAGGTTCCCCGGGACTTGTCTGGCAACACCCAGCATTGTCCCTTCCCAGGATAATTCCTCTCCTGGGTATGCCGGGACCATAAGCTCGAACATTTCCCAAGGACGACTCCAAAATAAATTATTTCAGACTTAACAGAGGCTGCTTAATAAATTCCACTCTTCTAGTTTCTTTGGGTATTTTAGAAACTGATTTATACATACAATATCTCTCTCAAAATGAGACAATCAACACAGGATAAAATTATTGAGTTATGAAAATAGGGGTCAGATGGAGGTGCAGTGCTTTAAATTAAACCGGCAAAATGTATCTTTCATACTAAATTGACTCTTTTTGTCTTGGAAATGAATGTTTAATCAGTTAAGACTCTGAAGTCGAGGGAGAAGCTTTAAGCATATTTAATTTTGTAAAAGGGGCCCAATTCCAATATTGCACAGGATTCCTGCCAGCAGCCATACCTTAAAAGCAGAAAAGCTGACTGTCATGCATGTCAGGAGGCCGCCAGGCCGGGAAAGGGACCAGAAGGAGTCGGTGGCCTCTGGGACCAGAGCCAGAAGGGCTTGGCATACATGAGATGGTCGTCAGACACCCTGGCCTCACCCACCTCTCCAGGGACGACATCCCTGACGCATCTCAATCTGTGCAAACAGCATCTGTGACCTCCTGGCCACCGGGGCACCTTCTGGGCCACCTGCGGCCCTGCTCCATCTCTCGGGCACCTGGTAAAACTGAGAGGCGCACGGTAGCGGATAGAGCTGGGCTCGAGTTCTGCTTTGGTTTCTTAATAACTGTGTGACATTCTTTCACTCATTTACTCGTAACGTGTTTCTAGAACCTTCTATGCGTCAGGTCATCACTTCCTAGAGGTGCCTCTTCTGGGCACACACAACAGCATGCACCGATTCTTTCAGAGCATTTACTACATTTCCAGAAGTGAGACTTCACCTGTCTCTCTCCCCGCACCAGGTGTTCCTCAAGGGCATCTTGTAGAGCCAGGGCTCAGAACACTGCCTGGGACTTACGAGGCTCCTAATAAAGACTGTTGCACAGGTGATCATCACAGTAGGTTGAAAACAGCCCCCCAAATATGTCAGGTCCTAATCCCTGGAACCCGTATTTGGGAAAAGAGTCTTTGCAGGCGTGATTAAGTGAAGGTTCTTGAGATGGCGGGATTATCCTGGATTATCCCTAAATACTATCACACGTGTCCTTATGAGAAAGGCAGAGGAGACTGCACGGACAGAGAGAGGGGGCCACGTGAGGTCAGAGTGACGTGGCCACGAGCTAGGATAGCCAGCCACCTCTAGAAGCTAGAAGCAGCAAAGGAGGGATTCTCCCCAGAGCTTCCAGAGGAAACTCACCCCTCCTGACACCTTCTAGCCTCCAGAGCTCTGAGAGAACCAATTTCTGGTTGTTTTAAACTACCACGTTTGGGGCAATTTGTTCGAGCAGCTATTGCCTGCCTTTTCCGAGCCTCCGTTTCCCGATGGAATGATCCCTGCCTCCCTCCGTTCTTGGGAGCAGCGCGTAAACAGTTTGTAAAGCCTTCTGCACTGTGCTTGACACCTAGCAGGTGGCAACACAAATTCTAGCACCAACTTCAGGATGCACGTCCAAGCACGCACAGACACACGCCTGCCTCCTACTGCTCGGACAAACTTGAAAAACTTGTCTCTAAGGGTGCCTCGTGTCTCTTCACTAGAGAGTCCCAACAGATGCACATGATGGACATGTGTTTATCGAGTTTCCCATTTGGTCCAGTAGCCCTCCCCTGGACAAAACAGTTTGGCTTCTCTTTCATTATAGAACGAGGGAATATAAAACTCAGTGAGCCCTTGACAACTGATTAATGGAAGAATTAAAGCTACCTGAATTTGTGAAGCGTCTTTAACATGAGCTAGTTTTAAAGAAATCTGGAAAATGACCGCAAAGTGCCTATTTGGACCAAGCCCAACCAAAACGTATCCTAGGACGAGTGATCGGAAGGTCATTTCTGACATACAGACAACATTCTTTGCAATTATCAAAGCTATTATAACCAGGTGACCCTACAAAGGTACCTGGCGTATCTGCAATCTGTTCCTTTAGGTAAATGAGACTCATGGGAAAACGTCCCTATTTGGTTACAGTGGGAATTCATTTTTATTACTAATAATCACAATAATAAAGATTCCCTGATTGTTTACTCTCTGCCAGGCATTTTTCTAAGACTTTGCACACATTATCTCAAATACACTTCACTGCAGTCTTGAGGTGCGTACTGTCAGGATCCCAACGCAAGGGAATGAAGCTCCAGAGGCGGATCCAGGACGTAAGGCAGGTCTGCGGGACTCAAGAGCCCACACACTAAGCACTACCCCCGGAGTCTCTCCTGCCCACCGGCACCAAAGGCCAGAAGGACCGGGGCCCAGGACAGCAGCCATACCAACCCTTGCACTCCCAGCCTGCCCGAGGGCACACACTGGAGGTGTCTGCTGACCCTCCCTTGCTTGTGCTACCATAACCCCCCAACAGGGACAGCCGAGTAGTGACGTTTTGTGAGCAATGAGCTGGGCAGATGGCTAAAGCGCATCATTCTAACAAAGTGGAATTAAAACCGTATGGCTCTGGAATCTTCAGGTCTCTTAGAGAAGAGGAAGTGGAGGCCCTGCATTATTGATGGGCCCCAAAGAAAGTTATTCCTCAAGAAACGGAGTATCAATTTCCACTGAGCACTTTAGCCTGACCCGGAACATCCCTCCCTCCTTTTATTTCTCACCTGGATTCAAAGAAGGAAAAAATGTGATGTAGCTTACAGAAATACATAGAGGATACCAGCTTTTTTTTTTTTTTTAAGCAAGGAGATTTAGTGGTAATAAGAGTAAACAGTAAATAAAACACTGTCAAGATTGCTACAGTGTACACTATATGTCCGAAGGTCCCAGGCATCTATGGCCTCTGAGCATTCTCTGCAGAGATAAACATGATCCACCCAACACCACGTGATTTTGATAGGAAATCAGCTATGCAGTCCCTCCTCCCCTGCCACAGGTAAGTCTGTGACCCAAGCTGACAGAATCGAAGATTGCTTCCTCCTGGACACGATGGTTGCTGGTCCGGCTGCTCTCCAGCATGGTCCTCCCTGGAAGACCCAAACGGTCACTTGCCAGAGATGTCAGGAGGGATGTCGGCTACAGTAGCCATCGTGCTTGCTGTGTGGAAATGGGCACGGGACAGGGCCCTAATGGCACTACTGGGGTTTCTGGATCCAGCCATACCTGAAACCCCTTGTCCACCCCTGGATATTTCAGTCTTTTTTGCTTAAGCTAGTTTGAGTTTGGTTCCTGTCACTTAGGAATGAACTTAAAAGAGTTGTGACTAGTATATAATATTATATACAAACAAAAATAACCATAGTTATTCAGGAGAAGTACTAGAATTCCCTTAAGGGACTTTTTCTATTATACCAAAAATGCTCTACTAGTTTTCTACAGCTCTTGATTGTTCAAATCAGCCATTATGCTAAGAAGTCATATATCTCCTTAGCATGGGATTCAGGACCCTTATGATCCAGGGGCTACTAGCTCTTTCACCTCCTTCTCTCTCTCGGGCTCCAGGTCCATTTTCTCCTGCCCTATAAAGAGAATGAACCACATGCTGTCCCCAAGAATGACATGAGCCCTCCTGCCTCTTGCTTTCGTACATGCTGTTTCCCCAACCTGGAAGGTCCTTTCCTGTCCTAGTCTGCCTGCTGATTTTCTACTTATCCTGAAAACTTTAACTCAGCAATCACCCTTCTCCCTGGCAGCTTACACAAGAAACAAGGTACAATATTTTTAAAATATTATGATTCTATTTATATGAAATGTCCAGAAGAGGCAAATATCTAGAGACAGAAAGTAGATTAGTGGTTACCTAGGGCTGGGGGTTGTGGGCGGTTGAGAATGAGGACTAAGTGGTATAAGATTTTTTGGGGGGGGGTGATGAAAATGTTCCAAAATGAACTGTGCTGATAGTCATGCAACCTTGTGTAAAATCTATTGAGCTGTACACTTTAAGTGGGCGAACTGTATGGTGTGAGAATTATTTCTCAATAAAGCCATTATAAAATAAAAATGGGATTATACTATTAGAAATAACAATAAAACAAATAATACCAAGATACTATAAACAGAGCTCCAGAAGTTACCCGTGTGAAGACACAAATTACCATCCATGCCCACCCCTCATATTCTGCAGACCCCATGCAAACATCCGAGCCCACACCCTGCACACAAGCAGAGGGTCCTCATCAAAACATTGGCATTCTGCTCCCCTCTCAAGCCCCTTCCCTGCTGGATCCAGCTGAACCATGGGGGGTGAGAGGGACTCACCGTTGGCAGCTGGCCCGACAGCAGGTGGCTGTCCTGGGCCAGCATGTTGGACACCATGATGGCTGGGAGGTCCATGGCCTGGTAGGAGTAGGCAGGGAGCAGTCCGTTGGGCGTGAGGCTGTGACACAGCGAGTGGTAGCCAGCTTCGTGGTCCCCCAGGTGCAGGAGGGATGGCTCAGGGAGGTTGGGAGGTGTTATCGGGGGGATCTCATAGTCTTCGTTGCTCTCACTCTGGCTGTTGTAGGTCTAAAACATCAAAAGGGCATGTTGGGAGTCAGTGTCTTACAACTGCAGAACATGCTTAATAGGACCGGTAAGAGCAACAAAATAGTAACAACTTCTTGACAAAGGAAAGAAGGGATGATTCCCTGGAAGGCAGACAGTCAAGATGGCCCTATGACTTGGTCAGATTCTTGCCCCATCTCCAAATGGGTGCTCCCTCCCACTAGAGGGTCTGTATACAAAACCTGCTCCCCTGGAGAGTGGGACCCATTCTTGTTCCTGTCTTCTTCATTTTCCCATCGGATCTGGACACTGCAGCCCACCACGAGTCCATCTTCCCACACCCACCCATTTTACAGATGGGAAAATCCAGGTCCAAAAGGAAAGTGGCTCATCCAAGGTTAATCAGAGTTGGGAATGGAGCTGAAGTATCCTGATTCCCTGCCTGGTGGTCTTCCAGGGCAGTTGGACACCTTTCCCTTGTGTGCCCTGAACACCCAGCCCAACTGGGTTCTCTCCTGGTCTTTCTCATCTCGGTAAATGGTACAAAGACACCTCCAGAAGCACAAGCTAGGAGCCATACCGGACACCTTCCTCTCCAATCCTTGTTTGTTCGTTTTCCCCCTCACTGCACTGATCAGGAAGCTCCGGTACAATGCTGAATAGAAATGGTGAGAGTGGGCAGCCTTGCTTTCTTCCTTAACTTAAAGATCTCAGTGTTTTACCACTAAGTACAATGTCTGCCATAGGTTCTTAACAGGCGTTCTGGAACAGCATGAGGGCATTGCTAGTTTGTCAAGAAGGTGTTTATTTTTCTTTCAGTTGTGCGTGGTTTGTTGTTATTTTTGTTTTACTTTTATTGGACTCATTTTCCCTGCATCTACTGAAAGCTCAAGCGACTTTGCTCCTTTAATTCAGTTAATATGGTAAATTCTTCACTTGGTTTTTCTAATGTTAAAACAACCTTGCATTTCTTGAATCAGTATCTGTGGGATTTGAATCTAATTCAATGGAAGACCCACAGCTGGTGCCCGAGATTAACAGAATGGCCAGGAGAGGGACCCAAGGAAGACTCAGTCCCTCCTGATCAAGCTCAACACTTAGGTGGAAACCATGTCCTGGTAGGTCTCAGGTCTGCTGAAAACAATTTCCTCAAGCCTTTTTTTTTTTTCAATCAAGGAATATAAATATCTAGCATTTATTGAGCATATAGTATGTGCCAGGTACAAGCCCTTTACAAACTATTTACTTGCACAAAGTCACATAATTAGAAGCCTCACTCCAGTTACCTCCCTCTTCCTCCAACTTACACTGTCGCCAAAGGAAGACACGTCTTGTCTGTAACACAGATCCTGGGAATCTGGGTCCTCATAATCCTTAGAGTAGGGGCCAAGTCATTGCCAAATTGAAGGCTCGGGGACCAAGAAATAGGCTTTGGTCCAGCCTTGATATTGATGAGCTTGGCAAATTAACACCTCCCTCTAAACTGTGAAGATCAAAAGCACTTTTTCTGACACAGGATCCCAAACCAAGTCTCTTCCTTACCATTTCTTACCCAGAATAATAACCATCCTGACTCCTGACCACCCATGATGCAGGGTGTTTTATATGGGCACCATCTCGAATTCTGTTTTTTGTTCCATAATTTCCTAGGACACATTTCCTATGGAATGTGTCCCTAATACCCCAGGCATGTCTATAATGACCTCCTATATTTCCCTAATTACAGATGTGTGTCTAATATGACCTGGGATGTCTCTCTAATTCCCCAAGTGTGTTCACCCTGGTGTGGGTTATCTCCCTAATTCTCCAGGTGAGTCTACCTTGACATGAATGTCTCCAGGGTTCCCCAGTTGAACGATTTTTTCCCCCAGCTTTATTAAGATATAATTGACATACAATTAATCTCCAATTCTTAAAAGAATCCTGTATTTATCCCCATTTGACAGATCAGAAAATCAAGATCTAGAGGCTTCAGTCAGGTTCAACAGTAGGCGGGGACTGGGTCTGATCCACCCCTTTCTCCTGCGACACAGCAGCGTCTTCAAGGAGTCTCCAGGCACCAGTCCTCCACGTTGAGACTCTGTCCACTGTGCACCCAGTGCCCACCCTCCAAATAAATACATTCTGAACACTCTGTGCTTAAAGACTAGTATGTCTTTACTGGAGAATGAGGGAGGGGGGAGAGAGGGAGAGAGAGAGAGAGAACCCTCCAAACATCTGAACATGGGCACCCTGGGGGGGGATGAAAATGATTTTTCAGGTTGTATTCTGATGCACTTCAGGGCACATATGTGGGTGTTAATGTAATTTTGCCCTTAAGTGCCTCTCCTCCAAGACAAGGTCCATAGGTCAACTGGTATAATGTTATGGTTAAGGGTACGAGTGGGACAGGGCTTGGTGAAGGGAGACAGCTATATGGGGGCACAATGGAGAAGGAGACAGAGTACCCCTGAGTAATCAGAAATGGGTGGAGGAGAGAAAGCACGCTGTGCCCCTCTTGCTCCTCTACACCTGGCACCTGGCTAGTAAAACCCCCACCACGATATGAACCCAAGCACCCACCCCTTCTCACCATCGCCAAGAGAGCTGAGCCAAGCTCTGGCCAAATTTCACCAGAAATCATGGTCACCAGCTGTGTGATGTCTTCATGCCTCCGGGATCCACTCCCTCCCAGCTTATTCATTCCCATGGTGGTTCTACCCAGCCTGTCTTCTCTCCTCGTTCTCCAGCACCCTCTCTGCGCCATTGCCCACCGCAGATGACCAATCACCCTCGACTTCCCAGGGAAAACAGAAAATAACCCTAACAGCATCCTGACACCAGAACCACAAACTTGCCCATTTGGTACCAACTTGTTCCTGTTTTGACGCCAGAAGAGCCATCCCTCCTTCCTAAAGCCAATCTCCCTGCCCATGTAGGCAATGATCCTCCCCCCTCCCCCTCCCCCTCTGTCCAAGGACCTTGGGCGTCCCATGAACCCTTCTTGCTCCTGGCTCTCTGGCCTCCCCCTCCGCTGGACCACTCTCCTCAGCCCTGAAACACGCTCACCTCTCTCTGGTCTTGCACACGCCCCCACCCCTCCCCAGCTGCCGCCACCTCCTCCCCAGTCCACACCCAGCTTCCTAAAAAGGCTGTCCTCACCTCTCAGCCCCTCTTCTTCATCTCCCACTCACTACACAGCCCACTGGGATCTGCCTCCACCACCCAGTGGCCTCCACGGTGCCAGATCCAATCAGCTGTTTTCAAACCACATTTCACTGTCTCCTCAGTGATGTCGGTCCAACTGGTCCCTTCCCTTCATCTTGAGAATGCCCCTCCTTTAGCGTCCAGGACCTCACGCTGCCCACCTTCTTGCTCCCCCGTCTCCTTCTCCGATGCCAACTCCTCTTCCTCTACCCAACCTTCCACGCTGGAGTTTCTCAGCCTCGGTCCTGACTCTTCTCCCTTCCTGCTCTACACCCTCTCCCCAGTTGGACCTGAGGCTCAGTTTTAATTCCCAGCTAGGTGCCACATTTCCACCTCCAGTCTTGGCACCCATCTGAGCTCCAGATGTGAGCATCTAAACACCTCCCCCACTCCAATATTCCCACCTGGTGTCTCCCAAGCATCTCAAGGGAAACATGTGCAAAGCTGCAGTCACGTTGCCCTTCCCCAACCTTGCACCTGTGTGTCCCTCATCCGGCCCTCCATGCAGTTAATAAAGCCACCAACTTGGGGCTTACCCTCGGTCACCCCTCAAATCCAGTGAGACTCCTCTGAACTGTCTTTTAAACCTACCCACTTCTCTCTATTCCTACCACCACCACCCTGGTCCAGGCCACACCATCTGCTACCTGGACAAGTGCCACAGCCTCTGTCCTGGTCTCCTGTTCTTTCCCCCCACAATCCATCCCCTTCACGTAGCCAGAGTGGTCTCTAGAAAGATGATCACCTCACCACGCCACTCCCATGCTTACCATGCTTTGATGGCTCCCCACTGTCCGGAGGATAAAGTCCGCAGCCTCAAACATGGCCCTGTCATCCTCACATGGCTGCCCCCCATGACCCTTCTAGCCACAGTGACCTTGCCTGCCTCCAGGCCCTCAAACTGGCTGTTCGCTCTGTGGGAATGCTGTGGTCACCACACATCCCCCCTTCATCTGGCTCATTCCTACTCGTGCCTCAGCAATAGGTTGGTTTAGAGGACTTCCCTGATACTCTCTAGACTGGGTCAGGGCCCATTGCACACCCCCAGGTGGCTCCGCCTTCCCCTCTGAAGCACTCATCGAACGCGTAGTTAACGAACTGCTTGCATAATTACTTGTTTAATGTTTACTGTGAGTTCTGCCAGGACAGCCCTTGCTGGTCCTGTTTCCCAGAACCTGGCACAAAGTAAGAGCTCAAAAATAATTAGCTGAATGGATGATGAGCCAGGCCCCAGGGCAGACGCCATGAGCATACATCTCACTCAGCCTTCGTGGCGGCCGTGGACATGGGTGCTATTTGTCCCTGTGGCACAGGAGTGCTGTGTGTGGTCGAGCGCCAGAGGGCCTGGGTTTGAATCCTGGCTCCGCCACACACTAGGTGTGTGACCTCAGGCACACTCCTAACCTCTCCGTGCCCCAGTTTCCTCATCTGTGAGGAGAAGGTAATAATGGCAGGTGCTACAGGGCAGCTGTAAAGAGTCACTGGATCAACATATGGGGACTGCTCAGGACACTGCCTGGTGCAGAGTCAGCCCCCTCGGTGGCGGCTGTCATTGTTGCCCCTGCTGCTCTTGCTCAGTTTCAGAGACGTTAAGGAACTTCCCTAAGAACACACAGCAAGTAGACAGCAGCTCACGCACTCGGTAACCTCACTGGGAGCATTCCGACCTCCTCACACCCCAAGCCTGCATGCCGTGGGGTGAGGTCTGTCTTGCGCCTGACTACTGGGATGGGCTGGGGGCTGACTGGCTTTAGGTGGGACTTGGCCACAGGCATCATATCATCCCAGAAAGCAGGGTCCCAGGAAGCCTCCCCCGGCTCCCCTGCCCATCCTGC